TGCAGTGGTAGTACTCCTGAGAGTAATGCAGCGCAGCGTCTCTGATGAAGATGAACAGAGCTCTCAGGATGAAGGACAGGAAAAGCTGCATGTGGATGAAGTTACGTGTGCAGTGCAGCTTCCTGAACACAAATCACAATCATACCTCAAATCACACTTCAGCATCACAGAAACATTATTAAAGCACACGCTGAGAGACTCAAGCTGCGGATCTGCACACACACACACACACACACACACACACACACACACACACACACACACACACACACACACACACACACACACACACACAGCATTATCCAGCACATATAGATGGTAAACGGATGCGCAGATAAGCTGATGTGTTTCCGGGTTTTCCTCAGCCGGGCTGTAAAGTGGCGCTGTTCCTCTCCAATTACTGCATCCTGGCTAATTACAGCTGGCTGCTGGTGGAGGCTCATTACCTGCACAGCCTCATCAACCTCTCACTGCGCTCGCAGAAGAAGCGCCTGCACTGGTACATCCTGCTCGGCTGGGGTGAGCTATCCAAATATACATTCATTCATTTTCCTTCGGCTTAGTCCCTTATCAGGGGTCGCCACAGCGGAATGAACCACCAACTTATTCAGCATATGTTTTACGCAGCAGATGTCCTTCCAGCTGCAACCCAGTACTGGGAAACACCCATACACATTCATTCACACACACTTATACACTACGGCCAACTTAGCTCATCGGTTCCCCTATAGTGCATGTGTGACTGTGGGAGAAACCGGAGCACCCAGAGGAAACACACGCCAACACAGGATGAACATGCAAACTCCACACAGAAATTCCCAGATCTAATTTAATTAATCATTAAAAATTAATTAAAATGAATTATGTAGCCAGAGGTATGTCACGGGTCAATTGGTGCTTTTGAAAACACTATCGGTTGGGTTTAGGGAAGTGGGTGGGAGGGTCAGTCGGTGCTTTTGAAAACACTGTGGGTTGGGTTTAGGGAAGGGGGTGGGCGGGTCAGTCGGTGCTTTTGAAAACACTGTCGGTTGGGTTTAGGAAAGGGGGTGGGTGGGTCAGTCGGTGCTTTTGAAAACACTGTCGGTTGGGTTTAGGGAGGGGGGTGGGCGGGTCAGTCGGTGCTTTTGAAAACACTGTTGGTTGGGTTTAGGGAGGGGGGTGGGCGGGTCAGTCGGTGCTTTTGAAAACACTGTCGGTTGGGTTTAGGGAAGGGGGTGGGCTGGTCAGTCGGTGCTTTTGAAAACACTGTTGGTTGGGTTTAGGGAGGGGGGTGGGCGGGTCAGTCGGTGCTTTTGAAAACCCTGTCAGTTGGATTTAGGGAAGGAGGAGGGTGGGTCAGTCAGTCAGTCGACAGCGGCCTCTGGTGGATTTATGTGAGAAAAGCAGGTGTGAATGGCACTTGTGAGAAGTTTGAGATCTGTAAAAGCGTACACAGCAGCCTCTGGTGGATTCGCAAAAACAAAAACTGCACTAAACGTAGCTCCTGGGATGCATTTGGCGCTCTCCAGAAATGTACTGTATACATGGGGTACGTAATCAGAATGGGCCTGGGTTGCTTTTGATATTTAATCTTTTATTTAATATATACACAACTAGCATACTAATAAAATGAGACTTGTTCCTGCAGGAATCCCGATGCTCATCATTATCAGCTGGAGTTTGGCCAAATATCTGCACCAGAATGAAGGGTACGTTCACACACTTTCTGAAAAAAGTCCTGTTTGGAGTGGGTAAAGCAGTAGTTATATACTGTTTTGGGGTCAGTCTGATCTCTCTGGAGACTTGCTTTGTTTATACCAGCCTCCTCTGGACAATTATTTATTATATCTGTATTATATAAGAGAGGCTATTTTAAACCTGCATGAGAACACAATGTGTGTGCGTGTGTGTGTGTGTGTGTGTGTGTGTGTGTGTGTGTGTGTGTGTGTGTGTGTGTGTGTGTGTGTGTGTGTGTGTGTGTGTGTGTGTGTGTGTGTGTGTGTGTGTGTGTGTGTGTGTGTGTGTGTGTGTGTGTGTGACAGATGCTGGGAGACAAGAGATCATGGCTGGATATGGTGGATCCTGCGAGTTCCCGTCATCATTTTTATCACAGTGAGCAAACATTCTCCTCGATTGTCTCAGATTTACACTGCAGAAATGCTTTTCTTGCTAAGAGTTTCTGTCTTGTTTCTAGTCCAAATATCTCCAACTGTCATTTAAAGGTGCTCTTATGAACTATAATGAACATTCACTCAAGTAAAGAGTTACCTTATATTTTTAAATATTCAATAGCTAATGCAACAAACAGTTACACAACAAAAAAAGGCCGTTTTAGTTCCCATAACTGTGTTTTCAGGTGAACATGCTGTTTTTTCTGAGCATTATTCGGACGTTAGTGGGAAAACTGAAAGCAGCTGACATGCACGGAAATGAAATTAACCATCACAGGTGAGAGAAAATAGCACATTTATTACCACTACAGCTACAAAACACTATTGCAAAAGTACAGCAAACAATATGCAAGACATGGAAAGTAATTTGGTTTGGCTCATACACACACTCCTGTTTAATAACACTTCAGACTAACTAAAAATTCACACCATTTACTGGCTTATTACCTGCCTATTATTATGATATTAACTGTTTATTAACACTTACTAACACAGTATGATCTTATTCTGCATTTGTATACCTAAACCAGGGGTGTCCAAACTTGGTCCTGGAGGGCTGGTGTCCTGCAGATTTTAGCTCCAACTTGCCTCAACACACCTGCAAGGATGTTTCTAGAAAGCCTAGTAAGAGCTTAATTAGCTAGCCCAGGTGTGTCTGATTGTGGTTGGAACTAAACTTTGCAGGACACCGGCCCTCCAGGATCGAGCTTGGACATGCCTGAAACCAACCACTATTAATAAGCAGCAAATTATTAGTCTATTGAGTTAAAAGTATAAGTTAATGGTTTGATAATAGTGTGAATTGTTCATTGAAATCAAGTGACCAATATATTTATATGATTGAAATCTTTCTTATAAATTATTTATTTTAAACCTGTTTTTAAACACATAATACACTCGCTGGCCACTTTATTAGGTACACCTTATTGGTACTGGGTTGGACCCCATTTTGCCATCAAAACTGCTTTAATCATCCATGGCGTAGATTCAGCAAGCTACTGGAAATATTCCTCAGAGATTTTGCTCCATATTGACATGATAGCATCACACAGTTGCTGCAGATTTGTCGGCTGCACATCCATGATGCCAATCTCCCGTTGCACCACATGCCAAAGCTGCTCTATTGGATTGAGCTCTGGTGACTGTGGAGGCCATTTGAGCACAGTGAACTCATCGTCATGTTCAAGAAACCAGTCTGAGATGATTGAGCTTTATGACATGCTGCGTTATCCTGCTGGAAGTAGCCATCAGAAGATGCTGTAGCCTGCTGTAGCCCATCCGCCTCAAGGTTGGCCGTGTTGTGTGTTCAGAGATGCTCTTCTGCAGAGCTCGGTTGTAACGAGTGCTTATTTGAGTTACTGTTGCGTTTCTATCAGCTGGAGCCAGTCTGGCCATTCTCCTCTGACATCTGGCCTCATCAAAAAGGCATTCGTGCCCACAGAACTGCCGCTCACTGGATATTTCCTCTTTGTCGGAGCATTCTCTGTAAACCCTAGAGATGGTTGTGCGTGAAAATCCCAGTAGATCAGCAGTTTCTGAAATACTCAGAGCAGCCCGTCTGGCAGCAACAACCATGCCACGTTGAAAGTCCCTTAAATCCCCTTTCTTCCCCTTTCTGATGCTCGCTTTGATCACCTGGACCATGTCTACATGCCTAAATGTATTGAGTTGCTGCCATGTGATTGGCTGATTAGAAATTTGCATTAACGAGCAGTTGGACAGGTGTACCTAATAAAGTGTCATTTTAATAACATTTTAACTCTTCGCTTTGTTTTATGTCTCATACTTGTTGTATTTTACATTTCTTTTATATCTTGTTTATGTAAAGCCTTTTGAATTATCATTGTGTATGAATATAAATACTGGATCAATGATTTTATAAAGCCAAAACTCTCTTTCATGGCGTAGGAAGCTGGCGAAATCCACATTTCTCTTAGTGTCGCTGTTTGGTCTGCAGTATGTGCTCTTCGCCTTTTTCCCTGACCGGGTTAGCGTGCTAACCTTCAAAATCTGGAACGTCATTGAGCTAGCATTAGCATCCACACAGGTAACTTCTAGCTTCTTTTCTCAAACACATTTACACTAGGACAGTCCAGTCAAAGTTATTTGCATTTATGTACATTTATAGTCAGATTTAGGATATTAGAGCTCAGCTGAATGATAGTATGGTTTAATCTCACAACGTCCGACACATTCACATAGGAACAGTCCAGTCAAATGTATTTACATATAGAGAATTGTTCATAATACACATGATTTCAAAGCAGCTTTGTTAATGTTATATACTATAATCCTAATTTATTTATAGTTGCATTTAGCATAACAGAGCTGCATGATAATATAGTTTAATTTAATAATGATAAAGAAATCGGGTAACTGAGATTTGTGGATCCTTCGGGTATGTTTCATTGTACCTTTCAGATGACAATCCACTAGAGGGCGCTGTGTAATTTAGGAAGTATTGGTCCTATATGTTAAATGTTCTTATATATTATGGACCATTTTACATATGTCCTATATTTTATCTGTAGGTCCTATATATTAAATTTTCTTATATATTATAACTCACTTTACATATGTCCTATATATTAAATGTTTTATATATTATAAATCACTTTGCATATGCCATATATTTTATCTCTAGGTCTTATATATTAAATGTTCTTATATATTATATATCACTTTACATATGTCCTGATTTATATCTGTTTGTCCTATATATTATAACTCACTTTACATATGTCCAATATATTATCTGTAGGTCCTATATAATAAATGTTTTATATATTAAGTATCACTTTACATATGTCCTATATATTATATGTTGGCCTCTATATATTAAATGTCCTATATATTATATATAACTTTGCATGTGTCCTATATTTTATCTGTAGGTCCTACATATTAAATGTCCTATATATTATATATCACTTTACATATGTCATATATATTATATGTAGGTCCTATATATTAAATATCCTATATATTCTATATCACTTTACATATGTCATATATATTATATGTAGGTCCTATATATTAAATATCCTATATATTATATATCACTTTACATATGTTCTATATATTATCTATGTGTCCTTTATATTAAATGTTCTTATATATTATATATCACTTTACATATGTCCTATATATTATATGTTGGTCTCTATTAAATGTTCTTAAATATTATATATCACTTTGCATATGCCATATATGTTATCTGTAGGTCATATACATCAAATGCCCTATATATGACATATCACTTTGCAAAAGCCACATATATTATCTTTATGTCCTATAAAATGTCCTATATATTATATATAACTTTGCATGTGTCATATATTTTATCTGTAGGTCCTATATGTTAAATGTCCTATATTTTATATATCACTTTACATGTCATATATATTATATGTTGGTCCTATATATTAAATGTTCTTATATATTATATATCACTTTACTTATTTACTTTACTTTACTTATTACTTACTTTACTTATTATCTATATGTCCTTACATATTAAATGTTCTTTTATATATATATTTCTATATATATATATAATATATAAATATATATATAAACATATCACTTTACATTTGTCCTATATTTTATCTGTAGGTCCTATATATTAAATGTCCTTTATATTTTATAACACTTTACATATGTCATATATATTATATGTTGGTCCTATAAATTAAATGTTCTTATATATTATATATCACTTTACTTATGTTCTATATTTTATCTGTAGGTGCTATATATTAAATGTTCTTATATATAATTTTCAATTTACATACTTTACACTTTTTGCATATGTTTATTGTATGTTAGCAAATACATTTGAATTTATATATAGTATTTCACAATATTGTTGATATTTTGCAACCGTATAAACAATAACACATCTGTAATGCGCTATATATTATGCATTGCTGTATGTGGATGTTCTCATGTTTACACAGGTACTATTGTAGGCTAGGTTTTTGAAATGGAGTAAATTGAATCTCAGCTCCGTGTAGCACATACATTTGACACTGTTGTGATGATGAAATTATCCACCATGTCTTTTGGTTCTGCTTCATGTTGTTTTTACCGTTCCAGGGCTTTATTGTGGCACTGCTGTACTGTTTTTTAAACGGAGAGGTGAGTGAATCAAAAGAAATTGACATGTGAATCAAATTACCTCAGGTTATGTTTTCCAGGTTTAATGCATCACAGGTTTCCTGCACATTTTAGCCACACGCGTCAATATTGAGGCCACGTATAGCAGCACAGTTCTGTTTTATGTTTCGCTGGTAAATCTTAACATTTATTGACCTTTTTTGACAGGTACAGTATGAAGTCCAGCGGCGGTGGAGACGGTGGCGTCTGAAGCAGCATTTTCACGGAGAGCCCAGAGTTCATCACAGCTCTCTGAGCAACAGTGGACTCCCGCTGACCCAGGTCTCTCTGCTGACTCGACCCAACACACAGATCACCTGAACAACACTGGTATCTTCAAAAAACAACCCAGGCTCATTGAAAATATGCGAATCAGCCTACAGTTTTTGCTTAATGTAAAATAGATTGCTCCGGATAGGTTTCATTGCACATTTCAGATGACAAATCCACCAGAGGGCGCTGGCAACATTAACCCCAACCCTAACTCTATCCAGCTTAAAGTGACATTTAAATGTTTAACTAGGGTAATTAGGGTAAAGTTAGGGTAATTAGGCAAGTCATTGTATAACAGTGGTTTGTTCTGGAGACTAATATTGCTGAAGGGGGCTAATAATATTGACCTTAACATGGGTTTAAAAACTGCTTTTATTCTAGCAGAAATAAAATTAATAAGACTTTCTCCAGAAGAACAAATATTAGAGGAAACTCCTGAATCTGTTCGACATCATTTGAAAAATATCAGAAAAGGAAATTCACAGCAAGGCGAATCATTTTGACTTCAACCCTATATTATATACTGAGCATTGAATATTGAATCACTCTTCTGGTGCCTGACATCACTCAAATGTCCTCATTCTTAGTTATTATAAAACATATGCCAGCATGCAAATCAAGTAACTTATTACAAGGGAAAAAGCAACAAGTGATGGCAGCGCAATAGGTGATATTAGTAGAAGAGGTCAAGGCATGAAGAATGAAATGTTCTTTGATTTCTTTAGATATTTGAGCTGTATAAGTCTAAATTAAATTATGCAATGTAATATAATGCGTATTCATATACAGTGCTCAGCATAATTGAGTACAGCCCACTTTGAAAATGATTATTTTTATCCATTTCTCAGTAACTATAGGTCATACATTGGTGCATTTGAACAAAACAGATTATTAAGCAGATATACTTATTAAAATAATATTTTAGTCACCGAACATCTTTAGGAATTGAATGATAATATATATAAATTCAAGCAAAATATTGCAAAAATAAAAAACACCCTACAAAATTTCAACTCATTTTTCTATTTTTTTTGCTTTTCTTGAATTAAATTTGTGTTTAAAGGGCACATAGGTTACCCCTTTTTCATATTTATTTTAAGTCTTTTGTGTCCCCAGAATGTGTCTGTAAAGTATCAGCTCAAAACACCCATCAGAGTATTTATTAGAGCTGTCTGAAGTGTCTGTATTACAGCTGGGAAAAGGTTGTTGCTGTTTTTTTGCACTGGGCCTTTAAGGCGAGTCACCGTTCCCACGTGCCTGTCAGCAGCATGCCTCAACACGCCCTCGGCTGCCTCAGGAAGCATATCTCACGCAAAGTTTGTGAGAAATACAACAGTAAGAACTTTACCAAGCAGTATTTGATGCATTTTTTGTGGAGTTGCAACAATGAGTTCACACACACACAGCGCAGACACACACACACACACACACAGCACAGATACGTTGCAAGACACACACGCACATACATAGTGTAGACACGCAGGCAGACACACACACACACATAGCACAGACAAGTAGCGCGGACACACACGCACATACATAGCGTAGACACGCAGGCAGACACACATACACACGCAGGCAGACACACATACATAGCGCAAACACACACACACACAGAGACAGAGAGAGAGACACGAGGCTGTGGTGATGAAGTGAATCTGAAGTGAATGGCTGTACTTCATTACACTCGTGCACACGTTTTAAAACATGTTAAACATGTGAAACTCACTCTTGATCACGTCTGATGATGATTGATGATCCTAGTAAACTGAACAGACCTTTCATTCCCGGTTGCTTTGCGCTCGTCCTGTCTTGTTGATATGATTATATGCATTACTATAGAGACATGTTAATGCACGCAGCTGTCATTCAATATTGGTGGGCGGGGAGATCGCACACCTACAACAAGTTGCGGTCGATCTGTAAACCGCTCCAATTGGTCCACCGTTTATTTGTTGTTAAATTTGAAAAAAAAGGACTGTGTGTGTTTATATCAGCCCAATATGACAGTATATACACTATATACACACAAGTCTGTCCAAACAGCTTGAAAAGAAGATTTTTCACCTTAAGTGCCCTTCAATGTTTTTCTATAACATATAAATTTGGCTGTACTAGTTTTTGGACCGTTATCATAAGTTATTTTCTTAGATAAGCTCCAGATTTGGCTTCAGTACTGACTAATCTAATGTATATGCACCAATATAATATTGTAGAGCTTCCTATTAAACATGAATTTAAAAGAGAGATTTGTGAGGGGTGAACATATATATGCTGAGCACTGTTACACATTTATTGTGTATAGCCATACACCCAATGTGCTTTGCATTGCATTATATTAAATTACGTTCATTTTAGATCTCAGAAATTGAGAAATGTTGAGTAGCGATGAATTATTTTCTATTTTGCCCATGCTAGTTTCCAAACAAATGACTTAATACTGAGTTCTCTTGTTATAAAAGGGGATATCTACTGAAATGAGCACCATTTCGGACTGAATGTTTTGCAGATAAAGTGTGTATTTTATGTGCGAAAAACTTTTATAAGTATAAATATTAAAAAGTAATGAACAGTAGTGTCATGACCCTTTTAATGTGTTTTTTTAAATAGTGTAAATATTTAGAGATGATAATGAAGTATTTAACACCTCACATTAATGTATTCTGAAGTATTGTATGTTGTGAAATACATGCAAATGTAAAGAAACAAATTAAATTAACTGAAGTTTGTGAAATGGCATGTATAGATAGGAGAATATTTTAAATGCTGTATTAAAAATATGTTTAATAAAGTCAGTTAGAAATCACTTATTGTTAAATAAACTATATGACTACCTGTTAGTAGTTATTGCTTATTTACAATTAAAAACTTTACTCTGACCAACATTATGTACATTTATAAAATGAGAACAAAAATAAATGGAAAAACAATTACAGAATGAAACGGGCAGTTAAAGAATTATTTATGATTCAAATAAATCAAACGCAAAATGCAAGTCACACTTATAACATGCATTATCAGAACACAATCTGTAGAAAATGGGAAAGAGAAAGTCTAGCTTTCTAGATTAGCATTCAACCCTAAAACAAAATGCAATGCATCCTTTAAAATATGGGTAAAATTCCTGGAAAAAAACACAGTATATTTTATTCTTAACAAGCCTTCAAAATAGTGCAGATTTAAGGGTTAGTTCACGCAAAAAATCAAGTGGAAATGTACCAAAAAAGGAGCACAAAAGTGTTTGTGGAGCTTCCGGCGATCACATAGACATATCATCTGTTTTGAAGATGTTTTGGTCCTTTCTGGACTTTGAACATCTCTGGACACTTGCCTATGGAGGATGAGAGAGCTCCAGGAATTTATCTAAAATGTCCTCATTTGTGTTCAGAAGTCTCAGAGGATTGGAATGACACGAGGGTGAGTAATTAATAACAGAACTTAAATATTTGGATGAACTAAGCCTTTAAGAGCAGACCTGCTCAAGATGAACTAACTCCATCTAATGCAGCGTCTTTAGGTAGTAAAGCTCATAGTAAAGCAGGTGTAACCCCTTCGGTCCTACTCCACCTAACCCGCTCCGAGCTGGGATCGAACCGGTGACCTTCCGCATGGGAGCCGGTTGCTCTAACAAGGAGGCTAAAGACCATGGCCTCTAGTGTCTGTCACTAGAACACCTTTAGAGGTCAGAGGAGTGAGGTTTACCTGCACAGCACACACTGGCTGGCCTCCGTTACACTCACCCCCCTAAACCTCACTCCCATCCGGGTCACGGCACCAATATAACCCCACCGGCCCTACACCACCCAACCTGCCCCGCCCCAGGATCGAACTGGCGAACTTCCGCATGGGAGTCGGTTGCTCTAACAAGGAGGCTAAAGACCATGGTCTCTAGCGTTTGTCGCTAGAACACCTTTAGAGGTCAGTGGAGTGAGGTTTACCTGCACAGCACACACTAGCTGGCCTCCATTACACAGGCTTCACAAAATACCCCAAAAATAAATCGTTTTTTGACAAACTTTTAAAATCACTTCTCAATGATGCCAAAAACGGAGATTAAAGGTACAGTTCACCCAAAAATGAAGTGGAAATGTTGTTTATAATGTATTTTGGTGCACAAAAGTGTTCATGGAGCTTCGAACGATTACAGTTGATATAAGACATCTGTAATGGATAACAGAATTCACATTTTTGGATGAACTAACGCTTTAAAAGCAGAGCTGCACAAGAGGAACCAACATCATCTATTACATGCATTTAATGCAGCATCTTCAAGTAGTAAAGCTCATAGTAAAGCAGGCTTCACAAAATACCCAAATAAAGGGGAGTGCCATCTATGGAGGATGAGGGAGCTCTCAGATTTCATCTAAAATTGGAAAGGGGATTGGAACGACGTGAGGGTGAGTAATTAATAATTGAATTTACATTTTGGTGGGGAACTAGTCCTTTAAGAGCAGAGCTGCTCAAGAGGAACTAACACCATCTAATGGAGCACCCTCAAGTAGGAAAGCTCGTGGTTAAGCAGGCTTCACAAACTACCCCCCAAAAAAAGGGTATCAATTTGGACAAATCGTGTCTCATTGATGACAAAAACGGAAATTAAAGGTACAGTTCACCCAAAAATGGAAAGTGGAAAAGTTGTTTTTAAAGTATTTTGGTGCACAAAATACTCTGTGGACACATGGGCTGCGTCCGAAACCGCCTACTACTCAGTAGGTACTGCTTTTGAATTTAAACGTACTACTCGGCCGCACGTTCTATACAGTATGAATGTGAAAAGTATGAATGGAATTCGGACGTACTACATCCGCCATTTTGTCATGGTCACGTGACCTACCTGCGTCAGTTGCGTCGCCTCTCTTCCATTCATGAATTATCTCACGGGGCTTTATGGGATAACGCAGCGTGCATGGTATGTGCACTTCAGAATCTCGCCGGAAGTAGTAAGTCATCCGGGTACTTCTCGCCTACTGATTTTCAAATTCTATGAATTCGGACATACTACTCGACTCGCATACTGATTTTAGCGTACTATATAGTATGAAAGTATGCGGTTTCGAACGCAGCCATGGTCTGTTTTCACAATAGTTTTTGGCAATGGCTTCACAAAATATCCCCCAATAAGGGGTAGTTTTTAAAAAAAAACTTTCATAATCACTTCTGCCCAATCCAGTTCCTGGAGATCTACCATCCTGCAGAGTTCAGCTGTAGCCTTGATCAAACACACCTGTCTTCAATCACCGAGTCCTCCTTCAGATCCTACTTAGTTCGTTGTTCTTGATCAGGGTTGGAGCTGAACTCTGCAGGAAGGTAGATCTCCGTGATCTAAAGCGTCTAATTCAGTGTCTTCAAGTTTTAAAGTTTAGTTGTTTACAGTTTGTCAGGATGTCCACCAGAGGGCAACAGCGGTGGCTTAATATTCTGGATGTGCCGTGCTGCCATGCCATTGAGGAAAAACAAGAAGGTTGCAGTAAACTGGCACCAGAAGGTCAGCGTAAACCCGAGGAGGGATGCAAAAGCCCCTAATATGAGCACAAAAGTCGCGACACCTCCGGCAGCCATTACTCCCGCCAGCAGCACCAGCCGAGCCCCGAGCGTCCATCGCCGACTAGAGTCCCTGCCTTCGCTTGCCTGCGACATCACTAGCAGCTCCAGCCCAAATATAGCACTGACCACAGCTAGCGTGATAACAGAGCGACACGCCGCCAAGCCCATGTCCAGACCTTCCACCCCGGCCTCCTCCAGACGCCGGGTGCAGTTTGCGGACGCTGTGAAACTCTGGGGGCCCAACACCGAGCCCTGAGGCACCTCCACAGAGCAGAAATACCACAGGCCGAACATGTGTTGGCCGGAGAGCAGCCAGTGACCGTCACACACCGCCACCGATGACAGGACCACAGATACAGACGTGCACAGGATAATCAGACCACGGCAGAACAAGTCTAAGAACAGAGGAGAGGACTTCACACGCGGAACGGGTCCGACCTATGAAGAAACACAGCGAGAAAACACACATCCATATCAATGATTCACACTAAAAGCTACCAGTGTTTTAAATCTGACTCTTAGGGTGCTTTCACACTTGGTTCATTTGCCAATAGGCCGAACCCAAGTTTGATTGTCCCCCCTTGCCACCTTCTCGCTAGTGTGTGTTCACACTGGCTGCGTCTGAAACCGCCTACTACTCAGTAGGTACTGCATTTGAATTTAAACGTACTACTCAGCCGTTAGAAAAGTACGTTCTATACCAACCCAGGCTCATTCTGAATACGTAGTCCAGCGGACGTTTCTGGAGACCGCGAAATACGTCCCGGGAGGTACATATGGCTGCATTTCATTTTTTTAAGTGAACGATATGGGGCGGTGTGACGCCGTTCCCTTTCGCGCTTGCCGGCTGACCGCTTACCTCCGTGTGGAGGGCTTTCCCGCTGCAGTCAGTTTGTCCGGTCAGCTCATCCTGTGCGTCGGCCGACTTCAGATGCAGAGAGGAGGAGTTGACAAAGGCGTCCAGGTTCGAGTCTGGGGAAGAGCGGTTCCAGAAACCAGGTAAGACAAAAACAGAATCCAAAAAATAAAGCAAACGAGTTCATAACAGGGTAAGCACGTGGTGAAATCCGAAAACGAAAATCTGAAAAAAAAAAAACAGACGAGGGTTTTTCTGTTTCTAGACGGCTTTTCTAAATTGTTGCTCGGGTTTAGGGAAGTGAGCGAGCGGGCGGGAGGGTCAATCGGTAAAACTGGTTGGGTTCACGGAAGGAGGAGAGTGGGTCAGCCGATTGGCCAGTCAATCAGACAGCGTCCTCTGGTGGGTTGACGCAAGAACAGCACAGGCACAAACGGCACTCGCGAGAGAAGTTCGAGATATGAAAAAGCGCACACAGCGGCCTCTCGCGGATTCGCGAAAAAAAACTGCACAAATACGTACCTGCCGGGACGTATTTCACGGTCTCCAGAAACGTCGGCTGGACTACGTTTTCAGAATGAGCCTGGGTTGTTCTAAACAGTATGAATGTGAAAAGTATGAATTGAATTCAGACGTACTACATCCGCCATTTTGTCATGGTCACGTGACCTACCTGTGTCAATTGTGTCGCTTTACTCCCATTCATGAATTCGCTCGCTGGCATCATGGGATAGCGCAGTAACATGGGATGCGCACTCCAGAATCTCGTCGGAAGTAGTAAGTCATCCGGGTACTTCTCGCATACTGATTTTCGAATTCTACGAATTCTGACATACTACTCGGCTCGCATACTGATTTTAGCGTACTATATAGTATGGAAGTATGCGGTTTCGAACGCAGCCACTGTCTTTTTCCTTCTGATCCCCGATTCGCCTGCCTCATCGAGCTGCTGTTTTGTGTACAGCTGTTTCAAATTACAAAAAACGAATTACCGCTGGTGCGAAGGGTTTCTAACGCAGCGTCTAAGGGACAGGACAGCAAATAAGAAGGCTGTGATTAAATATATTAAATATAGAGAACATGGAAACAAATGATCAGACTTTGATTAAAGATTACCAAAATTCATTCATTCATTTTCCTTCGGCTCTGTTCGTTATTTATCAGGGGTCGCCACAGCAGATTGAACCACCAACTTATCCAGGAAATGTTTTACGCAGACATGAGGATGCCCTTCCAGCTGCAGCCCATCACAGGGAAACACCCATACACTCTTACATTCACAATTTCGCTTACCCAATTCCCCTATAGCGCATGTGTTTGGACTTTGGGGGAAACTAAAGCACTCCATACTGAAATGACAACAGACCCAGCCCAAGCTCGAACCAGCGACCTTCATGCTGTGAGGCGACTGCGCTACCCACAACCACCGCGCTGCCCAAAATTACCAAGACACAATAAAAAATCTGTGGATTAACTTGCACTGATTAAGTATTCACCTTGAGAATAACAATGTGAGCTAGCAAAATAAACTATGATTTCATGCAAACTTTAAGAATGTACAATATATGAATAATAAATATTATATTTTTTACGGCCAGTGCTTGTGGTAACGAATTACAATTATATGTGTTATGGTTATGTAATCAGATTACTTTTTTCAGTTGAAAATTAGAAAGTTTGTTTTGCCTGAAAAACATAACAAAAAAAAGGACTAAGCTGAAAAAAAATGAATGAACATAACAATAGTACAGTGTAAATGTGATTTCTTTAAACAAGTGAGTGAGTAAACCCATTGCCTTAAAATTATAAAGCAAGTGAACTTTGTGCAGAGGTTAATTTTTTAAGTAGGCCTAATGTACAGCATTTATTTTCATTTTCAGGAAAATAATCAAAGATACTATTGGTTTTTCCATTTGTTCATTGACAGCTTCCCTGTCTCCCAGCACAAAAACAGATTCACTAGCTCTTAAAATACTTAAAAACTAAAATGCAGACTCAAGATACTAATGAATTGATAGTTATTTTTATTCGTCCTATTTTTCATGCAAGGTTTGTTTGAGCTCAACTGTTTTTATTCACTTCACATTTTACTTTTAGTTTTAAAGGGCTTTACAGTTTATATATATATATATATATATATATATATATATATATATATATATATATATATATATATATATATATATATATATTAGAATAAATAAATATAAACAAGCATTATTAAGAACCAAGCTCAAGCCAGATGAACAAAAGTAACCATAAAATAACATAACACATTAAAAAAGTTTATAAATTTGGTATATCTTTTAAAAGTAAGGTAATATTATAATATATTGCACTTAAAGGTAACTTTAACACTGTTTACTACCATCCTGACAACTATCGCTAACTGTAGTAGGCTAAATATTAAAATACACTGCCCTTCATATCAAGGAATTTAATGATTTCATTCAATAAAAATACATTATTAAAAGCATTACCCTGATTTTTATCGCCGTCATACTGATTTCGACGTGCGTTACAGTCAAACAAACCAAGGAGAAGCGAGGAGAAGCCAAGACGAGTCCAGTCGAAAGTACAGTGTATAAACCACAGACTGAGGAAACTCGGTGTAACATTAACAGTCTTAAACCCGCCCGTCCCGTTACACACGCAGAGCACGGGGGAGAAGATTCACGTTTGCTTTCCGGTCACGGAGAGTCTCGGTAACTGAGGCGCGAGTCTGTGTGAGGGAGTTTGTGTACATTTCAATATGCATAAAGGTGTTTATGGCCGTCAGAAATAACTTTGAATTAAATTTGACAAATGTTACTTTCGTAATGGACAATTGTTAAACAGATACTGAAAGTGTTCATTCATGAAAACAAACTATTTATAGTAGCCTACTTTAGTGTTTTTTATATAGTAAAGTCCATTATAGGACCTGGTTAATTAATGTAGTATAGTGAATTGATAGACTTTATAATACATGGTATACTTTAGCTTTTACTACAGTAAACTGTGAAATAATATTATAATGTATTATGTTATAAAAAACTGTATTATTAGGTCGGTTGTTTACTGTAATTGTTGTTCAAAAAACACTAGAATCTCCACAACAGATTAATTACTATAGTTGTGTTGCCATAGCAACTGTAGAATCACCACGGCAGAATAATCACTATAGTTGTTGTGTTGCCTTAGCAACTGTAGAATAACCACAACAGATGAATCACTATAGTTGTAGTGTTACCATAGCAACTGTAGAATAACCACAATGGATTAATTACTATAGTTGTTGTGTTATCATAGCAACTGTAGAATAACCACAACAGATTAATTACTATAGTTGTGTGTAACCAACTGTAGAATCACTACAACGGATTAATTTCTATAATTGTGTTACAATAGCAACTGTAGAATCACTACAACTTAAGTACTTTAGAGAATTATAGCGAATAGGACAAAATCTAAATTATTTTAAAAAATAATAATTTCCAATGTCAAATCAGAATGTTATTAAGAGTTTCATCTCAAAAGTATATTAAATCTATGACGTAATATACATGTGCATACATTTATTGCCCATATTATGTTTATTACAAACAATAATGAGGCAGATAATCTTACCCATACGTATCCCAGTCTATTAATGTAGATTAATAAGATTTTTTTTCCCCAGATTAATACAGATCAAAATTATTATTCAGTTATATTTACACTTTTTCCCCTCTCATTTGAGATGAAAGTAAAATAGTGGCTCGTCATAGCAGGGATGTGATGAAGCATGTTGTTAGTTTGGAGCAGTTTTTCTCTTCAATGATTAAACTCCTGATTATCATTATTATCGATTTCATCACATTATTGGCCAAAGTCCATTTTGGACGTCTGTGACCCAAAACTTAATTATGCAATTTACACTCTAGCAAAAAACACTGTCCTTTTTTCAGACTGAGGGGCATAAGTTGATAACTAGACTAGAGTCCATTGACAATATTACATTGACGTTTTTACACCACATAAACTCACAGTAGAGAAATAAGAACTTGCCTGTTTATAAATGTCAGGTGATGTCGACCCTTGATAGCCTATAAATCACAGTGCTCAAACTGCTGATATGATGGTGATAATAACAGGTCATCATTGGCATAGTCTTACCTTTCGAACAACACGCGACGCCATTATAAAAGCTATCCTTTCCATGTTAAAAGGAGTTTTTGTCCTAACTGTGCGACGGCGACGCGCGAAATTTAAAATGTAGAAACCGTTTTTTCCGTTAAACGGCAGAATAACAGCACTACTGAGACAAAGATCACCTCAGGTACAGATTATCTGCTTTATTCATAGTTAAATTCTAGCAATGTAAGTATAAATACCATTTTACAAGACATTTACTGACTGAAAGCAGCAGCAGATCAACTCAGATCTAGAAAGTAAAATAGTAGACGTTTAGAAATTAAAGACAGAAATAAGACTCAGTGCAAACGGACGCCCAGTAGCCTGTTAATAATGTTAAAGAGGTTTAGTATTAATTATATTAAAAACCTTTAGCATTTCGTTGGGAGTGCAGTGGCTGGTATTTGTCATTATGTGCTTTATTCAGTGTTAAATGCTACCAATGTTAGTTTAAATTCTATTTTACCAGACATATACGGACTGAAAGCAGCAGCGGATACCTCAGATCTTGAAAATAAAATAGCAAATGGTTTGAAAATGAAAGTTAGAACTGTGACTTACACCAACAACATTCACTAGGTAGCCTATTAATAGAGGTTTAATGTGTATTTATTAAATTAAAACCTTTACCATTTCATTGGGAGTGCAGTGGCTGGTAATTAAATGTTTTTGTCAGACAGACAAACTTGTGGCTAAAATCTTGCGTGTTTGGTTTGGAGATAGTGTTACAGGTTATCTAATTTTTCTAAGACTTTTCAGTGGTTTCAAGACAATAACAGGTATATCGATGTTATCTCAGAAGACTGTGCCTACCCCAAACAAACTGCAAAATGTAAAGTTTGTCAGACTATATAACAGTTAAGGGGACAGTTCACCTAAAAATGAACATTTCCTCATTATTTACTCACACTCAAGTGGTTTTTAACCAGAGTTTCTATTTTCAGTAGAACACAAGGGAAGATATGCTGAAGAAAGCTGGAAAAAAGCAGCCATTGACATCCATAGAAACAAGCAATAATCCTATTGAAGTCAATGGCTATTTGTTCTTCAGTATTCTTTATTATATCTTCCTTTGTAAGCTCAAACAGGTTTAGAACAAGTGGAGGATGACAAAATTGACATTTTTGAGTAAACTGTCCTTTCAACAAAGGTCTTATGTAATGGGATACAACCATATCATTTCATACTAACTATTCAAGTCAGTCTTGGATAAACAACTCCATCGTTTACACTGATGCACAACTGTATGTATTAAACACATATACAGTAAAGGTTTTTGCTTTTATTATAGGGTTGTTATTTTTGTTTTAACTCCAATTATCAGGCAATAAGTATGACAAAGATTTTGTTGTTTACAAAAAACACAAGGGTCTCAGATACAAATACAAAATTTCTTAAGGGCAACACAACATGTTTTTCCTTCTTCAGTGTTAACAGGAGAGAAGTAAACACATGTTTATTGTAAAGGTGAATTTTATGGCAGCGCATACAAAAGTATTCATTCTTTTCACTACATTGTGGACGGTTTTCTCTTGGCCTGCGAGGAATGTGCCGGTTTTCTCACACCGATCACAGTCTTGTGTGAGCAACACACTGCAGGCCTTAAGGCGTTTATGGGAGAACAGTACAGGTAAAGGCATGCTGGCCATCATATGGGTGTCTGTTAGATGCCGTATTTCCCCTTCAGCTCCTCGACTTTAGCGATGTACGCTTTCACAGCATCCTCCTTACTAGTTCCTGAAGAGACAAAGAAGAAAACAAACACTTAGAGTGAGATACTTAAAAGGACAGTTCACCCAAAGATGATTATTTACTCACACCAGAGTAGTTTTAACACTGTTTGAGTTTCTTTTTTTTTTTTTAAGGGGGCTTATGACGGTATCAGATTTCAAAGTTACGTTAATTTGTTGAAGGTTTTATCATAATATATTGTATTATTACAGGGCAAAAATCCTAAAGATAACTTTAATTCCTTTTTAAAGACCTTCCCAAAATATTTAAGACCTCATCGCCACTTCACAAGTTCTAATCAGTATCAAACCTTTAACTTACCAAACAGCTGCTAACAAACAGTTTTAGTTAAATAAATCAATAGAGCAAATAATCATGCAACTGAACTCAGAAAGCTTGAAAGATTAAACTATGTGTTGTTTCAGCGACAGGCTTCAGCTACTGTTTAAACTCATCCATCCAACCAGGAGTCCTTTAACTTACATTTTCCCGTCTGTTTCGCTCTATGGTTTTGCTACATGTAGAGAGCGTCACGTCACGTTCCAGCGTTTGTCGCAAATTACGTAACAACACCCATATGGAGGAGCTTGGACGCGCCCCGGCCCAAACCAACGAGCACGCCGTTGGTAATATTAGGAGGAAAATGAATACATTTATGCTTTTTAGGAGTCAAACACTACGGACAACGGTCGAACAAAATGCAAGACCTTGTAAAAATGCAATTAAGACTTTTTAAGGGCCTTCATTTTCTCATTATTGATTTATCAACTTTTAATACTTTTTACGACCCCGCGGACACCCTGTATTATCATGAAAATAACACAAGCTGCAGAAATAGTTTCTTTAACAGATATAATAACAATTCTTAGCACATTGATTTGTTGATATACTGCTTTATTGTATAGAGTAAACAATTATTGTGAATTAAATTGCAAAAGGATTATAAGGACACTTTATATTCAATTCATCAGTGAGATTAAGCCAGATTTGTTAGTTATATTGGTTAAAAACAAGACACAACTGAAATTCAAACAATTACAACTTATAATGGGGTAGTTTAGTTAAATTGCTAATGTTACCTATTAGAGTCTGAATGCACAATGTTAATGCACATTAACAGAATTTACAATTAATATTTCAGCTTGTAGTAGGTCAGATTACATAAAAATTAAACTATAAAGCTGTTAATACAATGTGAATATTATTTTAAAAATAAACAATTATCCACTGTATTTTGAAGTGGCCACGATATCAATATGGTGCATGTTTATTATCACAATACATTGAATTGCTGAATATCGCCATGTCTAGCTGGAAACCTGCAGTCATCAATCAGACATCAATATCAGGAAAGAAAGACACAAAAATTGTAAGTCAATGGCTATTTTCTTCAGTATTTTTCATTTGTGTTCAACAGAAGAAACTCGAACATCATTTTTAGCTGTACTGTCTCTTTAAGATGCTAAAATAAGTAAATAAATGACACGTCACTGCCCTCTGCTGGTAGCGAGGGGAAACTGACCTTTCTTGGCATCCCAGGCATCCCATTTGGCCTTACCGGTGAAGTCTAGCATGCCTGGCCGAGCTGTAAAAAAATAAGGTAAATTAGATCATTAAAAGTTAGTGCTTTAACTAGATCATCTTGCATTATTTCGACACTGCACATTTAGAGGTAAACCATATATTTAAATTTAAATTAAATTAGCAGTTTATCACATATAAGATGACTGTGATTAACACGATACAATTTTTTTAAGATTGGTTGACAGCACTATATAGAGTTATAACACAATATATAGATGGGTACAACTTAGTATAGTAAGTTAGTTATTTTACTAGGCCTGTTGTATGAAATGTAAAGATGACAATTCTGTTATCATTGACTAATTTTCTGTAAAAGACAAATTTACCTAAATAGTATATTTTGTTCCTTCTATGTAAGTCAACGGCTGCTTTTTTCCAGCATTCTTCAGCATATTTTGTTTTGTTTTCAAACCAATGTGAGGAGTAAATGATGGATGAATTTAAATTTTTGGGTGAACTATCCCTTTAACGCCCTATTCACAGCGTCAATAGGCGTCAGCGTCAACGCTTCCCATATACTTTGAATGGGTGATGTCAGGCGTTGCCAAACTGCATTGTGGATCCGTCGGCGCCGCTTCAGAGGCATTGCTCGCTGCAGAAGTTGGGACTAGCTCAACTTTTCAAGCGCTGACGGAAGCATCAGCCAATCAAATCGCTGTATGCAAATACACCAGCTAGACAGTGGCCTATTGCTGCGATGACGATTGAGTCAGCACCAACTTCAGACACGCCTTCAGTCAAGCGTTGATGCTGAAGCCCCGTGTGAATGGGGCGTAAGTGTAGAAGTAAGGAACTAAACAGGTTTGGAACAAATGAGTAAATAAAGACAGAACTCATTCATTCATTCATTAATTTTCCAGCTTAGTCCTTTATTTTATCAGGGGTTGCCACAGCGGAATGAACCACCAACTATTCCAGCATATGTTTTACACAGCAGATGTCCTCCCAGCTGCAACCCAGTACTGGGAAACACCCATACACACTCATTCACACACACTCATACACTACGGTCAATGTAGTTTACCCAATTCCCATATAGTGCATGAGTTTGGACTGTGGGAGAAACCGGAGCACCAGGAGGAAACCCACACCAACAGAGCAAACAATGAAGAAATGTTCATTTTTGGGCGAACTGTCCCTTTAAGAGCTAAAGGAGGAGCTCACCTGTGTTGACGTCTCCTACGGTGGCCTGCTTGTACAGACTGTAGATCTCCAGCATCTCAGCGTCTGTTGGTTTTGCTTTCAGCTGTTTGACCTCCTCTGCGGCTTTCTGAAACTCGGCCTGTGGAAAAACAACAACACCATCACCACACCGAACATTTCTGCACATAATAGTTTAATACCTCATCTCTAATGACTGGTTTCTTTTCTCTTTGCCATGATGACAGCACATAATATTGTGGTTAGCACTGTCGCCTCACAGCAAGAAGGCCACTGGTTCGAGTCCCGGCTGGGTCAGTTGGTGATTCTATGAGGAGTTTGCATGTTCTCCCAGTGTTGGTGTGGGTTTCCTCCGGGTGCTCCGGTTTCCCCCAGGGTCCAAACACATGCGCTATAGGGGAACTGATCAACTAAACTGGCCAGAGTGTATGAGTGCGTATGGGTGTTTCCCAGTACTGGGTTGTGGCTGAAAGGGCATCCACTGTGTAAAACATATGCTGGAATAGTTGGCGGTTCAGTGGCGACGCAGTAGGTAGTGCTGTCGCCTCACAGCAAGAAGGTCACTGGTTTGAAGCTCGGCTCAGCTGGCGTTTCTGTGTGGAGTTTGCATGTTCTCCCTTCGTTCGCGTGGGTTTCCTCTGGGTGCTCTGGTTTCCCCCACAGTCCAAAGACATGCGGTACAGGTGAATTGGGTAGGCTAAATTGTCTCTAGTGTATGAGTGTGTGTGTAAATGAGTGTTTCCCAGAGATGGGTTGCGGCTGGAAGGGCATCCTCTGCGTAAAAATGAGCTGGATAAGTTGGTGGTTCATTCTGCTGTGGTGACCTCGGATTAATAAAGGGACTAAGCCGACAAGAAAATGATTGAGTTGGCGGTTCATTATGCTGTGGCGACCCCTGATTAATAAGGGAATAAGCCAGGGATATGAATGAATGAATTTTGCAATTAATTTCTATAGAATAAAGCAATTCACAACAGTATTTCAACAGCAACATGTCTCATTCGTGAGACATAAACTCACAACTACCTGAAATATAGTTATTATTAAAGTTATGCCTATTTTTCCCTTATTAATTCACTCTGTTGAATAACCAGGCTCCCAAACAGAACCGAACACATTCAACAGCATTTCTCCAATTATTTCTATCTTAATCATCTGTCATTTCTTCTTACTTCATTAACAGAGAAACATTTTGGCCCTGCGCACTTGCCATTCTTAGTCTCGCTTCACAGCCGCGCTGGTATTTGATATGAAGTGATTGTGTAACCAAAGCACACAATAAATGAGGTTTTTAGCAGATCTCTATCACCGGGTCAAACTCCAACTCTAATGCATGTAATTCTCCCTGCATGGCTGTGATTGGCTGGCCTCGTCACATGACACGCATCAAAACTGATAATCAGATTTCACAGAATACTCGACCACTTCTCACACCTTCAGCTGGCCAGTATTTTAAGGGAATAAACGTTAACGAATATCTTGAGTGTTATTTTTCATGCTCTAATACTAAAAATAGCCGTTTTTCACACTACTTAACGCTTAACTGAACTGCACATTCTTGGTCTACGCTCTTGAATAAGGCATTGAGACTATAGAGATTAATTTTACATCAAGTTATTTTAGGGTTAATTCACAAAACCTCCTGCTCCTATGATATGAATGCATCTTGTGGAGTCAGTAAAGGGACAGTTCACCCAGAAATGTAAATTCCGTCTTGATTTAATCAGTTACTCCAAACCTGTTTGAGGCTGTTGAACACAAATGAAGATATAATGAAGAATGCTGAGAAAAACAACCACTGGCCTCCATAGAATATTATTAATATAAACGTCAATGGCTGTTTTTCTCCAACAGTCTTCAGATTGTCTTGCTTTGTGTTCACTGATATAAAATAAATACAAATAATGTTAAATGTTTAGAAACACCTAAATGTGAGTAAATGTTGATTTTTGGGTGTACTGTCCCTTTAAGAAGGCACTTGCATAGATATCAATAGCTGCGTCCCAAATCGCATACTTATGCACTATTCTACGCCATTTTATAGTATAAATAGTGTCAGTAGTGTGTTCACACTGAAAACTCTAATAATAATAAGAGCACTTTAACTACCCGGATGATGCACTCATTCAGCCGCTAAAATGAAGTGTGTAATGATGGACACTTCACGCACTCAACGACCGCAGGTTTGCTTATGTAGCGGAAGGGGCGGAGTTATCGGCGCACACGTTGGATAACTTTATTTTGGATGGTGAAAGCAAAATTCTCCTACGAGAGTGATTATAGCGCCTCCTGATGGTGAATGCGGTTATACTCACGGCAGGTATTATTTGATAATTTGGTCGTTTATATCACTGATTTGGCCTATTGCTGACTGAATTTCATTGCTATGACGATCGCTTCAGCCCCAACTTCAGACAATCCTTCAGTCAAGCGTTGACGCTGAAGCCCTGTGTGAATGGGTTTGCTGATTTGCTGCAATTGCCTCTTTAAATACGAGATTAATGTAGAGAATTTTTACGCTCTCGCTGGTAGAGCTGTGAAGGCAGACAGCGTTGTTGCCAGGGTGGCCAGAGCGAACTTTGAAGCTTGCCTCCTTCAGTGTAAACGCACAGTAAGATATACAGATTAATGCTCATTAATAGTATTTTCACAGTATTATATTAATATCAATGTTTTGCTCATTTTTCTTTAGAATATCTTGTTTTGTGTTATAAAAAATTATGAGGGAAATTCTCGTTTTTGGTGAACTGTCCCTTTAAGAGGGCGGTGACAGACATGGAGACAGAGCTGTAGCGGTTCCTCACAGTTACATTTCTAAATAAATAATTAAACAATCACCCCTGAATGAATTCACTGGCATCATTTACTGAACATCGTATGCCAAATTTAGGACACCGGTCAACGTTCACATGTATTTAAAATGTTTATTTATGTTTTTAATATTTATTTTAATATCTTTATTGAATGCTGAAGCAATCATGCTGCCCAACATCATCTGTGCTCAGTTCACAAAATGAAAGAAGTTCGAGAAGTACATATTTAAGAGTGTACTAATACAAATTTAGCAAAACAATATATTATAAAATAGCAAAAATGTGAGAAATACGCTCGATATTATAATGCAGTTAACGTTAGCGATCACGCCACACCCACAGAAATGGCGCTCTACATACACATGCCCTTCAGTAACATTTGCATTTACTGTAAAGCTGATTTTATCTCTATTTATCGATTTTTACTGTTAATAGCGCACAATATAAAACGCTAACCTGATCACGTGGGCGCGTTCACGAGCACCAACATGTCTTATTTATTACCAAAAGTTACCAATAGGCAAATGCATCACATAATGCGTTATTAAAAGACCTCTATATCTAATAAAAGCGTCGAGCATACTGACCTCAGACATGTTTGCAGATGATTAATTCAGCCTGTTGTGCCTCTAAACCCGCTGGAGATGATGGCAGCGCTTCACCCCGACGATTGTAGTAGTGTCGGCTACCACGCCCATAGTCACGCCCCTCTTGTTCTCTATTGGCTGCTGCAACATATCCCGAGCGACTCGTCCAATCAAATTCACGACATTCTAGACTCTTGTAACTGGGCCACAGGGTCACGCCTGGGATGCCAGATTGATTGAGTATTGTGAAAATAGGCTGAGATGCTCTTTATTCAAGCGACTGTTACACATTGCATCACAGCTTCTGCTTTACACTGACGTGTCTTATGATTTTTATTAGTGGCTTTGAGTTTGGGTTTTTTGAATAAACATTTTAGCTTTTGACCACAGTATGACATTATCTATCTGCAGTAATTCTGAAGCTTTTTTTTTCACAACATTGCTGTAATTTGTTACAACCAGAACTGTTCAATTCTAATATTTTTATATATATATATATATATATATATATATATATATATATATATATATATATATATATATATATATATATATATATATATGGGAATAGTGCCACTAATATATTCAGGATTTTACAACCACAATTGGCAAAGAAATATATATATATATTTCTGTGAGGAATAACTAGTGGTATTATGTTAATTTTAGTTTTATAAAACATTTAAATAATATTATTAGTTTCGAGTTCTATTAAATAGACCTAAAGCAGTTACGACTTTTGATTTTAAACATTAGTCTGTCTAAATTAACATCAGCGAAGGTTAATAGAGGCTTTACAAGTAGTTTTATTGTCCGTTTAGTTTAAATTAATTAGTTTAATAACTAGTTTTAACAAACAGAACCACTGTTAAATAACAATATAGAAGAATCAGAAGCTTTTCAGTCAATATCTTGTGCATGTTAGGTCAGATTATTGTGTGAAAATGTTTATTTTGAACATAAATATCCTGTTAAGTCTTCAAACATTCGGGGCTGTGATAAAAGGCACTCGGTGGCTCAGTGGTTAGCAGTGTCGCCTCACAGCCAGAAGGTCACTGGTTTGAGTCCCGGCTGGGTCAGTTGGTGATTCTGTGAAGTTTGCATGTTCTCCCTGTGTTGGCATGGGTTTATTCCGGGTCCTCCGGTTTTCCCTACAGTCCAAACACTTGCTATAGGGGAATTGATCAACTAAACTGGCTGTAGTGTATGAGTTAAAAGGCACTCTACAATCTTTCAATAATAAACAATCACTCACAGTTTTTCTGAACATTAATAAATGTTCATTAACACCAGTGTTGGGTGTAAATAAAGTAACTAGTTACTGTAGTTAAATTACTGATCCACTTTAAAAAGTAACTCAAGGGATTATTGTTCATTTTCAGGTCGTTTAATTGCTTATAACTCTCTTGCCTTGAATATTGTAATTCAACAGTTCTGAATAAATCAATTCAAAGAAATTAATATTGATTTTACACACATATATATATATATGTGTGTATATATATATATATATATATATATATATATATATATATATATATATATATATATATATATATATATGCTAAATCTATTTTTAACTAGCAAGGGTTACATTTGTCAGACAATTAAAATATTCAAAAGTTTATTAATTAGTAATGTGTATGGAATATGCATTGAAATGTTTCATATTTTGATACACATAATATTTAACTTTTCTCTTTTTTTGCAAGGCAATTAAGCTTGTTAACTAAAGAATGTTTGTCATTTATTAAACTTAACAGGCCAAGCTTGACTTGATTTAAGGTATTAAAAGTGTTTAATTTCTATTGTTTATGTTTTGAGGTTGAGGTTAACATGTATTTTCAGTTTTATCAAGTCAGATAAGTAAAATTCTTATTGAGTAATTGAGTTTTCAGATATACAGTATGAAGAATTATTCGCCCCCCTGTTTATTTTTTTCCCTAATTTATTTTTAACAAAGAGCAGATTTCTCCAACACTTTTCTAAACATAATAGTTTTAATAACTCATCTCTAATAACTGATTTATTTTCTCTTTGCCATGATGACAGCACATAATATTAGACTAGATATTCTTCAAGACACTTCTATACAGCTTAAAGTGACATTTAAAGGCTTCACTAGGGTAATTAGGTTAACTAGGCAGGTTAGGGTAATTAGGCAAGTTATTGTATAACGATGGTTTGTTCTGTAGACTATCGGGGTGGGGGGGGGGGGGGGGGGGGGGGATAGCTTAAAGGGGCTAATCATTTTGACCTTAAAACTGTTTTTAAAAATTAAAAACGGCTTTTATTCTAGCCAAAATAAAACAAATAAAACATTATCAGACATACTGTGAACATTTCCTTGCTCTGTTAAACATCATTTGGGAAAAGAAATATTGAAGGGCGGCTAATAATTCTAACTTCAACTGTATATCAAGGTAATATAAGCTCCAGTTTTTAATGATTTAATTAGTCAATTGTAATTAATAAATTTTTTGAAGTAACGTAACCAACACTGATGACCATTTTATATAATTTTACTGAATTCTGACACGTCTACAACTGATCATGTGCTTGATAATATTGCGCACTCAGACCTTCTCTCTGTCTTATCAATATCCCTTGTTTTCAAGACTTTGACCAAAAGGGAAACTGCATGATTTGAAGCTTATTTCTCTAAGAGTGTGCTTTGTCATTGCTATACACACTGCAAAAAATATTCGTAAATTAGCTGTTTTAAATATTTTATGATTAATGTTTTTATTTTTACCCATTTATTTTTGCTTTTGAGTTGCATTAAGGCACCTGAAAAGTTGGAATAGGTGCCCTTTATGAACATTTATTATTAGTTTGCAGTGGTATATTGTCTGAGTTGGTGTTTTACGCTACATAAAACAAACTTGTTATAAACTTCCAGCACATTTTCTGCTATTTTAAGACTTATTTATCTAGATATTATTATTTCTTATACATTATATTATTTCAAACTACTAAAATGTCAATGAAAGTGACTTTGTTGAACTGTCGAGTTGAATTTTCAGCATCAAAAGTGGACAGAGCAGAGATCAACATCCCAAAATGCACTTCACAACTGCAAATAAACACTTGAGAATCACAAAACAAAGTTTCTTTAATACAGATATATGCTGTTTTGGTGCAACCGGAAAGAGATAGCACAACTTTTTAAGGCATGAAAGTTTGCTAAAATATTTGTAACACTAAAACCTTCAGTAAAATCATTCACGAACACGAATGTAGACTTATAACGGTTTGTTGTTAGACTGTATAAGAGGAGACAGTTATGGTATTGACCACGTGGCTTCTTATCGATTGTTTTGCTACTCGATTGCTTTTGGCTGATTCAGCTGTCGCCACAATCGATGATGTAGCGACTGCTTTGGTCTAGAATTAATTTCTCAGAACATGCTGGAAACTAACCGCATTGAATTAATCATAAATAATTAAGACGTCCGCTAAAACAGTGCAATTATCTTCTATAATCTTCTCTGTTTGTGATGTGGCGATGATGATGTGCGATCGGGCGGTTCTGACGGTTCGGCTGGTTCGGTCTTTCGAGCACAGAAACTTTAAACCGCTGGTTTTTAAAGATGTGAATTTAGATCAGACAGTGGACGAGTTTATCTCATTTGTGAAGCAAGGTAAGACATGATGTTGAGGTAAAGTAGGTTTTATATTCGCACACTCGTTCAGTGTCCACTTGTGGCGCTCTCCCTATATTGTTTATCATGGCACTCTGAATATTCGCTCTGAAATCAGATGCTAGCATGACTTTAAAACAACATTAGCACTATTTAAATGACCGTGACCACTGTTGTATTTTGATAGTTGCTAGTTACTAATATGGTTTCACTATTTAGACGTTATTTTACTAAGGAGAAAGTCTGAATTTGTGAATATAAAACCAACTTAACCTCAATAGACACGACGACTGAATATAGCTATATAAATATATCATTGAAAGTTCACGTTTCAAGATTGAGGTAAAGTTGGATTCATATCCACACATTTGGACTTTATACTTAATAATAATATAATTTCAGAAAAGTATTCTTTGCCAATTATAAACAGTGAAATCATATTAGCAGCAAATGACTAAAGTACAACATGAGTCAGTTAAATAGCGCTGATGTTGTTATGGAGTCATACCTCCATGTGATTTCAGTCCGAATATTCATAGTACTATAGTAAACAATATAGGGAGTGTGTCACAAGTTTTTACTGAATTAATTGAAATATAAAACTTTACCTCAGCCGTTTCAAGTAACATAAAATAAATCACATCCCTGCTGAAAAATCCAGCTTAAACTAGCCTAGGATGGTTGGCTGGATTTAGCTGATCACCAGGCTGGTTTTAGAGGGGTTTTGGCCATTTCCAGGCTGGGTTCCAGCCATTTTCAGCCTGGTCTTAGCTGGTTAGGCTGGGAGATGACCAGCTTGACCAGCCTAGCCAGGCTGGGAGCCCAGCTATGTCCAGCTAAAACCAGGCTGGTCAAGTTGGTTTTAGATGGTCATTTTCCAGGCTGGAAATGGCTGGAAACCAGTCTGGAAATAGCCAAAACCCCTCTAAAACCAGCCTGGTCGACCAGCTAAAACCAGCCAACCAGCTTGGGATGGTTTAAAATGGATTTTTCAGCAGGGATGGGTTTGCTATTTAACTATATAAAATGATCAACACTAAACTAAACCTATTTTATTTTTAAGATATTTCAGTACGAGCTGGTTTGCCTCCACCTTTTAGAAAGTTTGACTATGGTAAGTCTACTTTTACTGCTTTTTCTGTGCAGCATGGCCATATTTTATCGTTTATATATCACTGAAGTACATAGTTTATTTCTTTGTGTAGCTAAATTTATTGTGTACTTTTCTATCATTATACTATTATACTTTTTACTACAGTAAACTGTGGTATATTGTGGTAAAATAATATGTCTATAGTCGTACAACAATACAGTATTGGGTCTTTTGTTTATATTAACTTATCTACTATAGAATCACCACAACAGTACTTCATAATAGTCTGGTTCACTATTCTGTACTTACCATAGATTACTATATTATTTGTTCATGTTTGCTGAAAATAGAAACATGAACATTTTTTTTAGCAGTATTTTAATTTGAGCCTGTATTCATTAAAGTTTTTTGAGAAGTGTTTTATAATTTTATTATTGTTTAATTCCTCTATTTTTTTTTACATCATCAGGATATGAGACGGTGATATCAGAGTTCTGTCATATCTCCTCGCTCTATTTCTTATTAATTGCATTGATGTTGTTTTGTTGTTGCAGATACACTTAAAATTATACACCAAGCACACAGAGCAAAGGTACTTCAGTCCAGCTCAACTATTCAAATAAAACACATCATAATGTAATACTGGCATGATTACAATCTTACAATCTTTTAGAATTAAAAATGCTGTCAGGGTTTCTGCAGGTTTTACAGCGTCAATGACTTTTTAAGACCTTTTCAAGACCATTTTGAATGAAAAACAGACCTGTTCAGGGCTAAATGCTAGGGATTTTGCCTAATAGCCAGTGGAAAAGATTTATAATTGATTTAGTTTAATCTGAGATGTGTTGGTGAGTGTCAGCCCGAGACTCCCGACATGGACTTAGAAAAATAAAGACCTGTTTAAAATGATTTAAGACCTATAGCACAATATTTCAGTGGATTCAAGACTTTCTAAAGCATAACAATTTGTTTTTGAATTTTAAGATCCTGCTGACACCCTGACTGTACTTACCTTTCTTCGTTTTTGCATTATGCATATTTAATAAATATATGCATATTTAATTTTGAAATGCTTACATGATTATGAGCATTCCTGATATACAATTGAAGGCATAATTATTAGCCCCCCTTTGAATTATTATTTCTTTCTTCGAATATTTCCCAAACAATAACAGGGCAAGGACATTTTTACAGTAAGTCTGACAATATTTTTTCGTCTGGAGAAAGTCTTATTTGTTTTATTTTGGCTAGAATAAAAGCAGTTTTTAATTTTTAAGAACCTTTTTAAGGACAATATTATTAGCCTCTTTAAAGCTGCGGTCACATTAGAGTTTGAGCTTGCGATAGTCTGTCGTTTGGCGCTGCGAAAAGGGACGGGATTAAACAAGCTATTTTAAAAAAGATTTTAAAAAGCGAGCGATTGCTCCATGTTTTAAATTTCTGTCCAGAGAGGTCATGTTTTGATCCTCGATTGGTCTCACGCAGTCAAGTGATGCGATTTCGCAGGTCAGAGTTCACCAAGCTGGAACTTTGCACCGCAGCAACCTGCGATACTTGACGCATGACCCTGTGTTTGAATGAACGGGGGCTAATAATTTTGACTTCAGCTGTATATATAAAATTTAATATTTATCATACGCTACAGCAATAAATCTGAATGATAATTCCACTGATTTCAGACGAATGAGCTTGTAATGAGTCTGGAGGATGATGAGAAGCTGATTCTGCGCGAGGGCTGCAGGTTACGAGCGTGTGGTGTTGGTATGCATTTAAGCAATATAATGGATGTTTTGGGGGGGAATGAGCAATTAAATGCATTTGAAATTTTTCTAAAGCATTTATGTTCAGTTTATTATTATTACAGCAGAAAATAAACACCTTATTTAATTTTATTGCAAACAAATTTTTACATATGCTTTGTTTGCATGCTTCGGTAAAAACGTTTAAATGCATTAGCAATTAATTTTTCTCAATCATTTCTGTTTGGATTATTACTACAGCTGCATATGGATTCAGCACAGAAAATATTCATGCATGTTTTGTTATTGTTTGCATGTACTGACTGAAATCTTGTATATTTCATTGCAGCCAATGAGACTGAACTTGCCTTCTTTAAAATGATGGACTATATGAAGTTCAAGGCGGATCCGCATTCAGAATGGTGACGAGAGACACGGGACTGATGCTTTTTATTTTAATCTGCAGCGTTACTTTTTATATTACAGTCTGAGCATTCAGACGCTTCCAGCAGTGTTTCCTTTGACCAGTTCTGAGAGGTTTTTATGTTGTCAAAAAGTCTATGAATAATGTTGAGTTCTGGTTATTTTAGATTCTTTTTTTATTTCAGAGGTCAGATACCAGATATAGTTTTTTATTTTATTTAAATGACAGCTTGTCTGTCATCTGCTGTTTTTGTTAAATAAAGCTGAAGGTGTAAATCGTGCTTTCGCAAAAACACACAGGACTTGTACATGTATTTCTTTATACACTTTATTCCTGTAGTACAACATCCACTATAAATACAACCTGCAAAGTATGCTGTCAGCGCATTTAGAATTTGCAGTGTGCATCATTGCAAATATTACAAACGGACCATTTTGAATTTGCATTATTTTTTATTGAAAGCTAATGTTCAGGTGCACTTTGTTTGCATGCTTAAATGTTTTTGTAAAAATCTTTAGTACTCAGTATACTGCTGGTCTTACTCTTAACACAGTGAGCAGCGTCGGGTAAAAAACTAATGTAGTACAATCTTACTCTTAATATATATATATATATATATATATATATATATATATATATATATATATATATATATATATATATATATATATATAATGCAAAAATAATGAGAGGGGCCTGGCTGCAGACTCAGTGCAGTGCAATCTGAGCTGCATCCAATACTTTTCAATGCGCTCACCTAACCCCACCCCTCACAGTGACGTCACTCACTCCATTGAGTAGATTGTGTCTGACATAGCATCACTGGGTGATGCAATCTCAGCCTGCATCATAAAGGCTGCATCCAGATACTATTGGAAATAATACATACTTTGACATGACAATCCTTAAAAGCTAACAAACCCATTAAACATTTTGACTTTAGATTGTAATATATGACTCCTATCACTGACAGAAAGTGACCCTGAAGTAAGATCGTATGAGGTTAAAAAAAGTAAGGCACGCGTTCGCACGCGTTCAGTTTTTCATAAATAAACAATTGCTGAAAGCCATCATGAACAAGAAATCCTTCAGTCTTTTTCCTGAGCTCCAAACTTCATCAGTACTGGGTTGCAGCTGGAAGGGCATCCGCTGTGTAAAACACGCTGGATAAGTTGGTGGTTCATTCTGCTGTGCCGACCCCTGATGAATAAAGGGACTCAGCTGGAGGAAAATGAATGATTGAATGCTATGGTACTCCGTTGGCCTGCAGATGGTGGTGTTGTAAGACTGGGCAGTTGCGTTTACTCTCCCATCCGCGGCGGATTCTTGAAAGTCTGCTGGAGATGCAGGGCAGAAGCAGAAAACATCGGCTCAGCAGAACAGCGCAGGGCAACACTGCAGCTAACAGGAACATTGGCGGCATGTAGAACTGATACGCCTCGACGTGGAAGGCAAAATCCCAGCCGAAGAAGAGTGTGTGCATGATGGAGAGAGTGAGAGCGACGTAGCCCAAACCTGACTGGAACAGACCGGAGACATAGTTCAGAAAAATGTACTCGCGCTCAAGTTTAAACTTCTTTATTGATCAGATTTGTTTAACCAAGGGTAAAAGAGAAAATAACAGTACAAATAGAAAAAAAAAATGTGTGTGTGTATGTGTATATATATACAGTTGAAGTCAGAATTATTAGGCCCCCCTGAATTATTAGCGCCACTGTTTATTTTTTTTTTCCCAATTTCTGTTCTGTTCTGGGAAGTTATTGTATAATGATGGTTTGTTCTGTAGACTATCGAGAAAAAAAATTAGCTTAAAGGGGGTAATAATTTTGTCCCAAAAATAGTTTTTAAAAAATTAATAACTGCTTTTATTCTAGCCGAAATAAAACAAATAAGACTTTTTCCAGAAGGAAAAATATTATGAGACATACTGTGAACATTTCATTGCTTAGTTACAAATCATTTGGGAAATATTTAAAAAATAAAATAAAAATAAACAGGGGGCTAATAATTCTGACTTCAACTGTGTATGTATATATATATATATATATATATATATATATATATATATATATATATATATATATATATATATATTCATATACATACACACACACACACACAAAAGAACAATAATTAGACCACACTATAACCCACTTATTGTACAAGCAATATAAAATCACCGGCCACTTTATTAGGTACACCTGTCCAACTGCTTGTTAATGCAAATTTCTAATCAGCAGGATAACACACCATGTCATAAAGCTCAATCATCTCAGACTGGTTTCTTGAACATGACAATGAGTTCACTGCACTCAAATGGCCTCCACAGCAGATCTCAATCCAGTGGAGCAGCTTTCGAATGTAGTGGAACGGGAGATTGGCATCATGGATGTGCAGCCGACAAATCTGCTGCAGCTGTGTGATGCTATCATGTCAGTATGGAGCAAAATCTCTGAGGAATGTTTCCAGTAGCTTGTTGAATCTCTGCCATGAAGGATTAAGGTAGTTCTGAAGGCAAAAGAGGGTCCAACCCCATAAGGTGTACCTAATAAAGTGGCCAGTAAATGTATGATGTGCATTAATTTATACAAATTAAGCATTTAAACAGGTCAGTACTGAAAATTGAGTTTGACAAGCTTGGTCTATTAAGTAAAATACGTTATGATAATAAACAAGAGAAAATGGAAAATATATTAAAATGAATATGCTGAATCTTCCGTTGAACACTAAAGAAGTTGTTTTGAAGAATGCTGAAAACCTGTAACCATTGATGTCCTTACAGAGCTGGTGTACAGTACCCAAAATCTACACTCAAAAAATGCTGGGTTCCACTCAATTTCTTCATGTTGACCCAACACAAAACGATTGAGTAAACTTAAATGTTATTTACAAATTTAAGTGAGTTCAACATAACTCATACATAAGTTGTCACCCAAAAAACTCCAACTCGTGTTAAATAAGTAGTTTCAACAAGCAGCAAAGGTACTGCGGAGCCTCCTGGAGCAATCTCTGTTGTATGGGCTCACCTGTACAAATGTGAACTCTCTCCAGTTGAGTGTGTTTCCCACAGAGGGAACAGAGGTGATGGCCAGTAAAGAGAGGACGCCCAGACCCAAAACTCCACAGGACAGGTACAACTCAGATCTCCACACCGCCAGCTCATCCCAGGGCTCCTCTGTACCCGCTTTAACCTGATGCATCCAGACAAACACACAGCAGACTCTATACTCTAGATATACTGTCGTAAATTTTTAAGTTGAATCAAATTATCTTTGCAAGTCGCATTAACTTACATAAACATCTTAAACCATCAATTAAAATTAGCATTTGATCACCTGATTACTTTTTTTAAATGGTTTAATTAGCTTTAAATGGTTTTCTAATGCTTCGATTAGCATGAAGTACCAGCTTAAATAAAGATGTAAAAACAGTGCTAGCCCATTTGTAAGCTCGTAAATGTATATCAGAATGAAATGCCACCTTAAATAAGGAGATAAAACAGTGCTAGCCCATTTTGTAAGCTTTCAAATGTCTATCAGAACGAACTACCACCTTAAATACAGATTTTAAAACAGTGGTAACCTATTTTGTAAGCTTTTAAATGTCTATCAGAATGAAATACCACCTTAAATAAAGATGGAAAAACAGTGCTAGCCCATTTTGTAGGCTCTCAAATGTCTATCAGAATGAAATACCACCCTAAATAAAGATTTTAAAACAGTGGTAACCTATTTTGTAAGCTTTTAAATGTCTAACAGAATGAAATACCACCTCAAATAAAGATTTTAAAACAGGGGTAACCCATTTTGTAAGCTTTTAAATGTCTATCAGAATGAAACACCACCATAAATAAAAATGTAAAGCTGGGGTAGTGCATTTTTGCAACTTCAAATGTCTATCAGATTTAATTAGCACCTAACATAAAAATATAGAAAGCACTGTCAGCTTCCAATTGTCAATCTGAGTGAAGTATTCGACATTTGTTTATTGTTTATTATTTAGTATTAGTATATGTTTGAAGTTGACAAGATGATGATTATTATTACATATGCTGTCATGAGGCTCCGGTTTCCCCCACAGTCCAAACTCATGCGCTCTAGGTAAATTGCGTAAACTAAATTGGCTGTAGTGTATGAGTGTGCGTGTGAATGAGTGTGTATGGGTGTTTCCCAGAATTGGGGTGTCAGCTGGAAGGGCATCCACTATGTAAAACATATGCTGGAATAGTTGGCGGTTCATTCCGCTGTGGCGACCCCTGATAATCAGGGACTGTCATGAGTTTTTTTGATGCTAGCATGTTCTACAGTGTGCTCACCTGTCTGTACGCCGCATTGATGAGTCTGTGCTGTGTAACTCTGCGCAGCGGTTGGCATACACTGTAGACACCGTGCAGCGCTGCGCATAGAAAACTCAACAAACCCAGCTGCTTCCTCCTCTGCAGCCAGTTGTCCAGCCATGGCGGGAAACGCCGGTATTTGGTTCCCCTCCAGAGCTGCAAAAACGCAGCAAACAAACCGGGCAGGTACACCAGAGACAAAGTCACCAACGCGACCGCCGGCAGACTCTCATTCACCAGCTCCAGAGCGAGACGGTAAAACACACTGTGCCCTTGCAGAATAAACGGCAGCAGAATCCCCCGCAGGAAACCATAAGTGTAGAAGAAGAGGAAGAGGAGGAAGGTGAGCATGACTGGTCCACTCCATGACGGGAACAGACGTAATGACATGACTTCCATTTCTCGGGCAGCAGACAAGCCACCCATATCCAGCGGATGGAAACCCATGTGTCGAGCCAACTGGATAACTTTCCTCTTGCCCTCTGCGCTGTTACTGCAGATCAACACCTAGAGAATTAGCAGGAAGTAAAGGAGTTCAAATAAGGCCTGAACAATACTGGAAGAAAATCAAACATTGCATGGTTGTGTATTGTAACTATTGCGAATGCTCACATTGCGATACCGATGCTTAAATTACATACGGTGCATCCGGAAAGTATTGATAACGCTTGTTTATGTTACAGTCTTATTCCTAAATGGATTGATTTCCTCAACATTCTACACACAATCCCCCATAATGACAACGTGGAAATGAGTTTTTGAAATTGTTGCAAATTTATTACAAATAAAAAGCTGTAAAATCACATGTACATCAGTGTTCACAGCCTTTGGCGTGAAGCTCTACATGGACCTCAGGTTCATTCTGTTTCCACTGATCATTCTTGAGATGTTCCAGCAGCTTCATTGGAGTTCACCTGTGCTCAATTCAGCTGATGGACATGATCTGAAAAGGCTACACCTGTCTATATACGGTCTCAGGGTCGACAGTGCATGTCAAAGCACAAACCAAGCTTGAGGACAAAGGAACTGTCTGTAGACCTCAGAGACAGGATTGTCTGAAGGCACAAAACTGGGGAAGCGTACAGAAACATTTCTGCTGCTCTGAAAGCTCCAATAAGCACAGCGGCCTCCATCATCCGTAAGTGGAAGATGTTTAACTACCAGGACTCTTTCTAGAGCTGGCCGGACATCTAAGCTGAGTGATCGGGGAGAAGAGCCTCAGTCAGGGAGGTGATCAATAACCTGATGGTCACTCTGTCTGAGCTCCAGCGTTCTTCTGTGGAGAGAGGAGAACCTTACCGAAGGACAACCATCTGTGCAGCAATCCACCAATCAGGCATCTGTATGGTAGAGCGGCCAGACGGAAGACACTCCCCGCCTGGAGTTTGCCATCTGAAGGACTCTCAGAGCATCAGAAACTAAACTCTCTGCTCTGATGAGACTCAAACTGAACTGTTTGGAGTGAACGCCAGGCGTTACGTTTGAAGAACAGCAGGCGGCGCTCATCACCAGGCTAACAGCATCCCTACAGTGAAGCATGGTGGTGTTGGCATCATGCTGTGGGGATGTGTTTCAGCAGCAGGAACTGGAAGACTAGTCAGGGTAGAGGGAAAGATGAATGCAGCGATGTACAGAGACATCCTGAATGAAGACCTGCACAAGAGTGCTCTCCACCTCAGACTGGGGCGACGCTTCATCTTACAGCAGGACAATGACCCAAAGCACACCGCCAACATATCAATGGAGTGGCTTAAAAACAACTCTGTGAATGTCCTAGAGTGGCCCAGCCAGAGCCCAGACCTAAATCCTATTGAACATCTCTGGAGAGATCTGAAAATGGCTGTACACCGTCGCTTCCCATCCAACCTCATAGAGCTTGAGAGGTCCTGCAAACAGGAACGGGCAGAAATTCCCAAAGACAGTTGTGCCAAGCTTGTGCATCATATTCAACAAGACTTGAGGCTGTAATCACTGCCAAAGGTGCATCAACAGAGTGTTGAGAAAAGGCTGTGAATACTGATGTACATCTGATTTTACAGCTTTTTATTTTTAATAAATTTGCAACAATTTTTAAAACTCTTTTTCCACATTGCCATTATGGGAGATTGTGTGTAGAATGTTGAGGAAATCAATTTATTTAATCCATTTTGGAATAAGTCTGTAACATAAACACATGTGGGAAAAGTGAAACGCTATCAATACTTTCCAGATGCTCTGTATTGCGCAGCCTTAGTTTAAATGAGGCTTTATGATTGAGGGAATATTTCCAGATAAGTCAAAATAATTCGCCCTGGTGTGAAATTTAAATTGTAAAATATTTTGCTTAACAAAGATTTTTTTCAACACATTTTTAGTCAGTATAGTTACAATAAGTCATTAAGTAAACAAGTTATTTCTTTTGTCTTTGCCATGATGATAATAAAGGGACTAAGCCGAAAAAAAAATGAATGAATGAATAATTAAAGTGACCTTGCCAATTGAACACGTGCTCCAAACCACTGATCCGAAGCCAATTTTACCTGTTTGCTTCCATCACGAGCCCCGGTCTGCAGCTCCCAGGTTGAAACCGTGTTGAAACCTTTGACCACCAGGCTTTCCGGAAACTGTTCGGCCAGTCGCTCTGCATTGGATGGCCCATGGATATCCAGCACTTCTGCATTACTCACATCCACCAGCACCTTCCCAGCGAGTGCAGACCTCAGACCCAGAAGTGAGCCGTAGTGTTCGGGAAATAACGCCATGAACACCACGCACGCTGCCTGTGCTGCCGCCCCCTCCTGGTTCATCAACGCCACTGCGTCCGGGAACAGTCCTGATGGGATACGGTTCACACACCGACTCCCGACCGCCACCCGGACCCTAGAGGACACCAATCGCACAGCCAGAGAGCGGGAAAAATCTCCAGAGCCCAATATGGCCACTGTTGGGCTGCTGAGCATCCCATCGTCAGCGTAATCTCTGGAGTCTGAGAGCAAAGGAGCCGTCATATCATCCGCCATGATGAACCTGCGGAGCGTGATTTCAGCAGGAGTAGGTTACTTGTTGATACTGGAAAAGCATTACAAATCAGCCAATCAGAATTTAAAAAGACTTAATGAGCCCTTTTACAAGATGTGTAATGCGATTCGGATGTTTCTAGAGCAGGGGTGTCCAAACTCAATCCTGGAGGGTTTGTGTCCTGCACAGTTTAGCTCCAACTTGCTTCAACACACCTGCCAGGAAGTTCCTAGTATACCCAGTAAGAGCTTGATTAGCTGGTTCAGGTGTGTTTGATTAGGGCTGGAGCTAAACCCTCCAGGACACCGGCCCTCTAGGACCGAGTTTGGACACCCCTGCTCTGGAGTGTGTAGTTTCAGTTCACAATACCACACAAATAGGGCGAGGCAGTGGCACAGTAGGTAGTGCTGTCGCCTCACAGCAAGAAGGTCGCTGGGTCGCTGGTTCGAACCTCGGCTCAGTTGGCCTTTCTGTGTGGAGTTTGCATGTTCTCCCTGCCTTCGCATGGGTTTCCTCCGGGTGCTCCGATTTCCCCCACAGTCCAAAGACATGTGGTACAGGTGAATTGGGTAGGCTAAATTGTCCAAAGTGTATGAGTGTGTGTGTGGATGTTTCCCAGAGGTGGGTTGCAGCTGGAAGGGCATCCCCTGTGTAAAAACTTGCTGGATAAGTTGGCGGTTCATTCCGCTGTGGTGACCCCGGATAATTAAAGGGACTAAGCCGACAAGAATGAATGAATGAATACCACACAAGTAATGTTCTAAAACTCTGTAAAACTGCCCCTTTTAGGCTCCAAACTGTGTTGTTTTGGTGACTGTCACTTTAAATTCAAATGAGATTGTGCTCTTTTTAAAAGAGGGCGGGGCTATTAATGCCTGTATGTCAGCACAGTGGCAGGACTAAAAACAGGACTAGCATTATCTGTGTGAAGAAGAGCGAATATGTGCAGAAGTGTGTCAGAAGCAGGCAGTCTATGGAGACAGACAGATTATGGGCTGGCAGTGGTTTGATGAACATGAAGTTGAACATCTCCCATGGCCTGCGTAGTCCTCAGATCTAAATATTATTAAGTCCTTTGGAGTGTTTTGGGAGGAGCGAGTCAGGAAAGGTTTTTCTTTAGCAGCCTCGCATAGTAACCTGAACATTCTGCGAAAGGATGGCTCAGAGACCCCCTGGCCGCTGCGCAGGACTCGTGTCTGTCATTCCCAACGCCAACTGATGCTGTATTGGCTGCAAAAGGAGGCTCTGCACTATACTAATGAATTACTGCTCTAAAACCAAGCCTTTCAGTTTCATTGTCCAACCCCTGTATGTTATTGGTCAACAGTGAGGCCCGATACACACAGGGCTTCAGTGTCAATGCTTGACGGAGGGCGTGACTGAAGATGGGGATGATGCAATCATCATAGCAGCATCAGCCAATGAAATTAGACTGACACTACTGTCTGAGCTGGGGTATTTGCTTCCAATAGTGCTTTAAAAGTTGAGAATATCCCAACTTCTGCAGCGAGCAACGCCACTGAGGCATATATATATATATAAGGGATGCCACAGTTCTCAATATAATATTGAACCGTACGGTACGACCTCCACGGTTCAATACGCGCTTGTGAATTGCGGTTTTCTCGGTTTTGCGTTTAAATAATTCATGTAAGTTTATATCTCCCCGAATTGACTGTGTGTGCCAGTACGTCCATGAGCTGACATGAGGAAACTATTGAGTAAATATCCAATGAGTAAATATCCAATCACTATGCTCTAAAGTTAGGGGGCGCTTGACCATCATTCCACACTTTAACATGGCAAGCGGCGGTGAAGTGAGGCTGAGACAACAGTACAAGGTTACTGCCATGTGATTGACACCATGTGATATTAGGTGTACCTAATAAAGTGGCCGGTGAGTGTGTGTATATATATATATATATATATATATATATATATATATATATATATATATATATATATATATAAACATATTTCATTTATATGTCATTTGTTAACAGTTAAAATAAATTATATAAATATATACATTTTATAAATTTATATATTTATATATAAATATAAATATAATATAATTTATATATATATTTTATAAATAATAAAAACATTTGCATATTATTCAATTTACAGAAATTAGAATATTTGGAATATGTACAGTACACACACACACACACACACACACATATATATATATATATATATATATATATATATATATATATATATATATATATATATATATATATATATATATATATAATTGTGTTAATGTCATACGTTAACAGTTTAAATAGATAACATAAATCATACACATTAGCATATTATTTAATATTGTTACAGAAATCAAAATAAAACACATTTACTTCAGTTAGAGGATTCTTGTTAGAGTTGTCAGTTTCGTTTCTGCTTAAGCGGTGGCTCTATCATGCCGCATTCAGGACTAACGCTATAATAACATTCCCATCCTGTAATATCATTATTAATCTTAAAAACACATGTAATACTTCTTTATGCTTAAAGATTTAAGTCCCACTCACCTCTTTGACTCATTGGTCTGCTGTTTGTGCTGACTGCAGGACTGTGTGCTGCTCCAGGACTGTACAGACACACGTGTGGGCTTCCGTTATTGTGCACTAAAGATATGAAGAGAAGAGAAACGTGCAGAGAAAAGACGTGCCTTATCGCAGACACACGAGCGGGGCGACGCTGATGCAGTTTTATCACTGCTGAATTCTTACAAGCTGATTCTTTTAAAGGGAACTTGAACATTACAAGAAAAGTGAACATAAATGTACATATATAAGAGTGAACAATATCCAATTTATAAGATGGAGGAATAAAGAAGATGAAAACTTTAATAATAATAATAATAATAATAAACAAAAATAATAGAAGTATTAACATAAAAATTGTCAAATAATAATGTAGTAACAATATCGGTAAAAAAAATGATTGAATTAGTAAAAAAAAAAAACTAATAAAGGTACATATAAAACAAAATAATTCTAGACCTTTTCTTCCTTTTTCCTTAAGGACACAGTCAGAAATTACAACAGGGGATTTATACAAGAAAAAAACCCTCCAAGTCATTCTTTTTGTTATTAATTATCATTAGAGACCATAGATATATACATATGTGTATATCTATGATTAGAGGCTGCTTTAATTCTCTAACTAAATTAAATGACCTGTTGCTATATGCACTTCGCAAATTTCTGTTTATGAACAGGTCGCCCTCCTAAAAGCTGATTGGATGGGAGATCGTGACGTGACGCCTCCAAGAGACCGGTTGTTGCTAAAAGGGATACAGCTGCGCCCGAAAGTTAACGAGAAGTATTTATATTATTTAGTAAACCCATTAAATTGTATTTTTATTAGCATCTACCCCGACCATAACACAACCTTCACAGTAATGTAAAAACAGTAAATATACCGAGCATTATTCACTTACCCATTACTTTATGATCATCTACCGCTGCTGCAACCCTGAACCCAACCCTCACACTTTACTGTAAAATTACTGTAAAAATATTAATTATGAAATTATTATTATTATTATTATTATTATTATTATGTAGTGCTAAAGCCTAGAGGAGATACAGCTGCGAAGGCTCATCAATATAGCATATTATTGTGACACTGTACAACAATAATTAATATTCTTACATTACTGTGAGAGGTTGGTTACAATTTATGGGTAATTTAATCATTACTATGAATAATTATCGGTATAATTACTGTGTTTACATTAATGTGAGGGTTGGGGTCCCGTTAACTTCCGGTCGCAGCTGTATCCCTTCTAGCAATAATCCCGCATATCGGGCTCAGCTGATCTGGTCAACATCTGCAGGCTCGCGATAAGGATGACCGCAGGCCCCGGGCCGGTTTCTGGATTCTACGGGCTTTCCAGCGGCTCTGACCGGGTGAGGATGCTGTGTGTCTCCGCTGTCGGGATTCTGGTGCTCGGTGTCGGGATTCTGTGCGCTCTGGCGGCGGGTCCGCTCCATGCACAGTGCGCTGTCCAGTGGTATGTGGAGTATATCAGCTACACTCGCTGTACATTTTTCAGCTTAAAACAATGGTTCAGTTTTTGATTATTTATAAAATGTGTCATTTATTTTCATAGATTACAAGATGTTGCATGTCATAGCAATATAATATTTTCTGTGAAAAATGGCGGTAATACTTTAATGTAATGGTCCAGTCGTTCGTGTATTTAATAAGTTGGCTAATTTAAATAACTTAAACAACTAACTAACATTACCAAAGATGAATAAATAGCGTAAGACATATATTATTTGTTCATGTTAGCTATGTAGGCTATTTAAAGATATGGTGTGTAAAAGCCATAATTTTTCAGCTTATATGAAAATAAATGGTTTGATTTCTGATTATTTATAAAATGTGTGACTTATTTTCATAATTATAGTCATAACAATACTATATTGTTTGTAAAAAAAAAAAGGGGGGGGGGACACTTAAACATAATGGTTTGTTAATGTATTCACTAACGTTAGCTACTTAACATTATCTAATTTAAATAACTTCAATGCTAATTAACATAAAGAAAGATGAATAAGTACAGTAAGAAATGTATTGTTTGTTCGTAAAATAGGCTATTTACTGCTTAAAGAGCACTAGTCTGATATGAGCTACACAATATAATTGATTTTTGAATATAAAATTTGTTATTTTGATAATTACAAAATGTTACGTGTCATGTCAATACAATATATTCTGTAAAAAAAGGGACATTTTTTAACAGAACACTAAAATAATGGTCTGTTAATGTGAGGTAATGTATTTACTACTTAAATAGCCTTAAATTATTTAGTTAATTTAAGTAACTCGAATAACATTAACCAAGATGAATAATTAAAATATTTACAAAATATTAAATTTTAATTTTTTGGTTTTTATAAAAGCTCTAAATGGTCATTTTTCTAACTAATAACATCATTAAAGAGTTTAAAAATAACGTGTGTCTGTTAATCTTATTTCCATTCTGTTACAGTACCTTGCTTTGCCTTTAAATTGGTGTAATTACTGATAATAATGTCATCTTTCCCTCACTGATAACATGTGAAGCTCTGAAAGGTGTGTGTGTGCTCTTTCTGAGCATTTTACTGTGTATATATTAATTTAAATGTCTATGCAAATAGTTTTGTATTGTTTTGTTTATGTGTGTTTATACATGTGAATAATTACACAATGTCTATAATACACACACACACACACACACACACACACACACACACACACACACACACACACACACACACATATAATGTAAACTTTTATTTAGGATGCGGTTAATTATGATCAGTCTGTGCACAGCACTACATTTGTTCAGCTTTTAGTTCATCTATAAATCTCAGTTTGAAAAAATAAAAATACATCTCAGACCGGATTTTTGGTCACACTGCATGTTATTATTATTATTATTATTATTATTATATGATATTATATTTGATTGATTGATTTATTGACAGGAAAATTGGCATTCCCTGCTTTGACGTCTCCTCTCTGTTGGTGAACCAGATTAAAGAGTGGTCGACAGAAAGCTGTCCTGGGACGAGCCAGAGATGCCTGTATTCAGTGAGTGTCTGCACTAATGCAAAGCCTAGCTGTGTTAGTAACATGCACGCGTAGTTTAGAGCTGCACAATACATATCAATTCAGCGTCAGTATCGTGATGTGTGCATGCTCAATAGTCAATCGCAGGATATGTACTGTCAAATCATTACTATATCTGATCAACGTCACAGTTTAGAATGCATTTGTGGAGTCACTGCAAAGTATAATCAGAATCAGAAATGCCAAGTGTGCTTCACACACACAAGGAATTAATTTGGCTTCCAGCTTCCAGTGTGCATAAAGTGACAACACAAAATAAATATGAAAAAAAAGATGTTAAACATTAAACGGAGATGCAGTTAGTCCAGATATCTGGATGTTGAGTTGCATGTACAAATTTGTTATAAATATACAGGTTATACGGTGCTGTGTACAAATGTGAATGTAGAAAGTATTGCATTGTATATTGATATAAGGTGCTGTGTACAAGTGCGCATGAGAAAGTATTGCACACGTTTATTGCACAGTTGGGGGATATTTAACTGTTCATGAGGTAGATGGCCTGAGGAAAGAAAGTTTTCCTGTGTCTGGCTGTTTTTGTGCTTGGAGCTCTGAAGCGCCGACCAGACGGTAACAGTTGGAACAGGTAGTGTGCTGGGTGCGAGGCGTCCCGAGTGATTTTGCGAGCCCTTTTACTCACTCTGGAGGAGTACAGTTCTTGAAGTGTAGGAAGGGTAGTGCCAATGATTCGTTCAGCAGTCCGGACTTTTTGCTGTAGTCATAACAGAGTGAAAGTTAATCATTTGTATGTGTTGCAAATCAATAATCTGCCAGTCAGGGTAAGCAAAATAATCTGGTTTTCATTTTAAACTAATTTACCCTATTGGCAGATTATTTAGCTTGTTCTAAGGAAAAACTCACTTGTTTTTGACTCATTTTTTCTAAAAACAAGATAATATTTTTCACTCGTCTAAGGGTGCTTTCACACCTGCCTTATTTAGTTTGATTGAATTGCACTAGAGTTCGTTTCCCCTTTTGGTGTGGTTGGTTTGGGCAGGTGAGAATGCAGCAATCGTACTGGAGTGCGCACCAAAAGCAGACCAAATAAGCGTACCGAGACCTGCTTGAAGAGGTGCTCTCTGTACACTTTCAAACGAACCCTGAATCAGTTCATTTGTGGTGAGAATATGATCCGTACTAAAACAGGTCCAACCGCAAAAAGTACTGCGCCTTTTGGACTAATCCAGCTGCCGTAGGCTGTTGCGCTGTGCATTATGGGATATGGAGGAAAAATATTTGTAGACAGCGCTTTACCATCAGAGAGAGAGAGAGAGAGAGAGGGAAAACATTAGCTGATGGATTGTTGGTAATATTTCCGCAAGATGAGCATGTCACAGTTTAGCTAAATTAATTGACGCCTCCTCCTGAAGTGACGAGTGATGCATTAAAACATTTGTTTTCCAGCAGCGGCTGCGCTTCATTCTTAAAATTTAAAGTTTGTCTAAAGCAGGGATACAATCAGCCAGCACAGTCGCCCCTCCAGAGTAAAAAACACATTTTGTTTCTGCCGGTTTGTTTACTTGTTTGTTGTTGGCATTTTCCCGCACCTGAATTCTGACCAATCAATAAGCAGTTTAGGAAATATGTTCAACAACATCTGGCCAATGAGAGATGTGGATTTGGTCAGATGACTACATTTTGGTTCGTTTTAACTGGTTCGGACTAAAGCCAGCAGTGTGGTGTGAAAACCACCCAAAGACGGCAGAAAATGCAACAATGATCATTTATTGCTCTTGGTCCGGACCAAATGAAGCGAACTACAGATGTGAAAGCACACTAAAAAATGCTTCTTCATTTAATCGAGTTTCAGACATTTGGACTAGAAACAAGACAAAAACTCTAATTAAGAAAGGCTTTTTCTGCAGTGTGTGTTAAGCCTGTTTATACTTCTGCGTCAAGTGACCGGCGTAACCCACGGTGCATGCAACGCGCGTGGCTGTGCATTTATACTTCTGCTGCTGTCTCTGTTGGTCTGCATTAACTCTTCCGAAACGCTAGTTGGCAGTAGGTGTTTATGTTCCTCTGTGTCGAGTTTCTTCGCTGGTGTTTTGTTCTGTCTGAACGCTTCCTTAATGTACAAGTGGCTCATTTTGAGGCAGGAACCGGCGGACGTGCAGCAACTTTAACTATGAGGTAAACACAAAACAAAACTTTCCATCCGGAGCTCCTTCACAGGACTCCACACTTGTAAACAATCGCTCCATCAGGCTCGCGCCGCTCAC